AAGAGGACACGACTAGAAATCAGTGGTTAAGTTGTATTTACAACACTGTTCCAGAATAGTTCAAACCAAATATTCAGATGTGTGCAACGCATTTTACGGAGGACGAGGACTATTTCCTGGGAGAGTAGCCTACAATGCCGGTGTTCCGATGAATTCAGTAACCCGTTTCCCCTTCGGCGCGCATGCTGACCCTATACAGTCTATGATGCTGACAAATAATGCTGACTCACAGCCTGTAAGTACGTTTTCATATTTAAAGGATTTGCCACTGATGATTCAAACGCGAGTTTTGGGCAGTGTAGAGTTGCGCTTGTTGTTTGTCGTTTCTCCGATCACAAATGCAGACATGGTTTTATGTTTACGCGGCGCGATGCAACGCAATGCGTAAAAAGACAGTATAAGTCATTATAATCAGTAATTATGTCCCCACTGGATGCAACAAATGCCTCGTTTATAATAAGTTTTATTGGTTTTGTCTCATCGCTCCGGGACACGGCATCGCAGTATGGTAAGGGGCGTAACATTTCCGTCACACGCTTGAGGTATTCAGCCAATCACAATGCACTAGATAGCTGGCCAATCGGAGCACACCTCGCTTTTCAGAACGATGAGCTTTGTAAAAATCGACGCGTTTCAGTAAGGCGGGGCATAGAGGAGAAACAATAATGTACAATATGTGGAAAATAATGTGTTTTTTGAACCTTAATCCACATAAACACATTTCATTACACCAAATAGTAATACACAAAATAATGTTATTTTTTATCAACGTCATATGACCCCTTTAAAAGTTAAGTGTGTAATTTTTGCACAACTAGCGTCATCAATGCAAAAATTATTTTCAGTCAGGTTTGAACACCACCCCCTCCTCCATTAGTTGGACAAATAGATATTGCCACCCCAAATTCATGCTATTGGCTGAGCCCATTTTATTTATTGTCTCTTTAATATTAAAGGAGAAATTATTTTAACGTCCACACTTTAACACTAATAAATTATACTGAAAATATAATTTGTAATGTATTTGCATTTTGTTTTCCTTGGTAAAATCTTTTTTTCATGATCTTCTTATCTCAGGGAGGAAGTGCAAGACTTTCTTCATGAAATCTACTTCCTCCCTGACCACCCAAAACTGAAAAACATTCACAAGGTCCTTCAAGATTACCGTAAGGTACAGCCTAAACAAACCAATCAGCTCATCAAAGTACAAAAAAAACAAAACAATGTAAAGGTCACATCAACAAAATGAAATAATTTTAATAACTATGGTCCTACACAATTCTTCAACAACAGCAAACCTCAAAGAGCACTGACATGCAGGCAGCGCTGCAGCTCTCCATGCGGGCCATCCAGCATGAGAATGTGGACGTACGCGTCCATGCACTCACCAGCCTGAAGGAAATGATATACAAGAACCAGGTCAGACTCACTCTTAATAAATAAGAAGCTTGGTTGCAGATACACGTATAGGTATCTTTATTTTAAGGAGGCTTAAAATAAAACACATCAAGGGCCTGAAAGGTTGATCTACAGTATATTCGTTTGTTCTACAGGATGCTCTGTTAAAGCATGTCTTGGACAGTGAGATGGTTGAGCCAGTGATCTCTCAGTTAGTGACAGTGTTGCTCCGGGGCTGCCAGGACGTCAATCCTGAAACCAGGCTTTTGTGTGGGGAATGCCTGGGGGAGTTGGGAGCCATTGATCCCGGTCGACTTGATTTGTCACCCGCTGACACTCAGGGAGCTGGCTCAACATTTGTGGTAAGACATTCCTCAGACAGTTTTGTTCCTGTATGTGCCAAGCAGAATCATGAAGATCGTGTTTTAAGTGTGTAGCTTTGCATTTTAGGCATTCTGAGTGTTAAGCACGGAATAAAGATAATGTCTTTATGCTTTTAGAGTGGGATTGACGATCCAAACTTTGCCTATGAACTACTGACAGAGCTGACCAGAGCCTTTCTAGCCTATGCAGATGATGTGAGAGCTCAAGATGCTGTGGCTTACGCCATGCAGGTAAATATGCTATGCTATGATAAAGATAATGCCCTTTGTGAGATTTTAAAAGTATTTAGCAAGTAGATATTTAGTCATTTTTTTACTTGCTTGAAATGGGTAGAAACTTAGAATGAAACTATATAAAAAAGTTTGGCCTGATAAATGGTTGATATTTCAATTTTATTCCATTTTGTCTCAATAAATGTAAACAATTTTTTTTTTGAAATGCTGCAAGTGAATTTAGGCATCACAACATTATAATGTACAGTATGAAAAATGATAACCATTGAGTACTGCATTCAGGCTAGTGCTATTAAATCAATAGTGCGTTTAAAAACTAACTTTAAGTGGGCGTTAGATGATGGCAAAGGTAATCTAAATGTAAAAATTGTAGAAATGAGCATGCATGTTAAAATTCTAGATATCGACTGATACTGATCAATTAAAAAAATCTCAAATATCAGCAGATAAATGTTGTGGTACCAGTATGTTGTAAGTTTTAGGATAGTTAAACTCAGTAACCTTCTGTTTCAGGAGCTGCTGTCATTATTTGAATGTCGGGAGGGCAGGCCAGGTCGCCGTCTATGGAGAAGATTCCCAGAGCAGGTTCAGGAAATCCTGGAGCCGCATCTCAATACCAGGTTGGGCATGATACTTTTGCATGGCTTGTTGTCTGCTGCTTATTGTGTATCCAGTGTTCATAAAACTGACTTGTTTTAATCATCTAAAGGTATAAGAGCTCTCAGAAGGTGGTGAACTGGTCTAAGTTGAAAAAGCCTATATATCTTACCAGCCGTGGAAGCAAATTCTCTGACTGGTCTGCAACATGGGCAGGATATCTCATCAGTAAAGTAAGTCCACATCCACTATTTTTCCAGCCTCAAATATACCTAAAAGGCTAATTCAACCTTATTTTTAATGTGTTTCAGGTTAGACATGAACTTGCTGGCAAAGTGTTCAACTGCTGTAGCTATATCATAAAGCATGATTACAAAGTGACCATCTATCTGCTGCCCCATATTTTGGTCTATGTGCTGATTGGATGCACTCAGGAGGAGCAGCGAGAGGTACAAATTCAAGCTCTGTGGAAGGACCCACTATTAATTTTTGATAGGAAACTGTTCATGTAGTTTTTCTCAGTGAAATCTAGTAAAAGAGATAGTGAAATGCTTAAAATAGTGTTTCTGTTTGGGTCCTGGAGGTGAATGAAGAGATGATGGCAGTCCTAAAGGAGGGTGACCCGCGGTTAATGCGACTGCAGGAGAACGCCTCCAGTCTGAGTCAGCTCAGCACACAAACCGTCTTCTCCATGCTGGACCACCTCACTCAGTGGTCCCGCCACAAGCTGGAGAGTCTGAGTACCAACAAGAGGCCAGGCAAACATGCCAGAGAGCAGCTGCAGCCACAGGTCACTTGCAAGATTACATTTTGATTTAATTCAGTCCTGTTTTCTTCCCTAAAAGCTGATGGTTATTATTTATTCATGTCTTGACATTATTGTGAATGATAATAAGCAATATGTCTTTTGTTCTTTATTGAATTTTACTTTCACCAATTCCCTTTAAATATTATCATTTGTGACCCTGGAGCACAAAACCAGTCATAAGTAGCACGGGTATATTTGTAGCAATAGCCAAAAATACATTGTATGGGTCAAAATGATCGATTTTTCTTTCATGCCAAAAATCATTAAGTAAAGATCATGTTCCATGAAGATATTTTTGTATTTTTCTACCATAAGTACATCAAAACTTAATTTTTGATTAGTAATATGCATTGCTAAGAACTTCACTTGGACAACTTTAAAGGCGATTTTCTCAATAGTTTTTTTTTTTTTTGCACCCTCAGATTCCAGATTTTCAAATAAATGTATTTCTGCCAAATATTGTCCTATCATAACAAGCCATACATCAATGGAAAGCTTATTTATTCAGATTTCAGATTTCTAGTTTATCTAAATTTCAAAAACTTGACCCTTATGACTGGTTTTGTGGTCCTGGGTCACATTTTTAAATTGCATCAGTAACACACTACTGATGTGACTCAATTCATTATGCTGTGAAATTTTTTTCTATAAAAATATTTTATTCTAAACAATGCAACAGAAATAACATGTAAGCTATATTTTTCAGCTCTGTATCGTGTGTGTAACTCAAGTGAAATTAAAATAAGTCTGGCTCTTTCTTCATCCCATTAGGCCCAGAGAGCAGTGAGTATCAAAGTGTAGTGGCCTTTCTAAACAGCATTCCTCAGGATGTGCTGGCCAAGGCATCCTTCCGCTCCAGAGCCTACACACATGCTGTCATGCACTTTGAGTCTTTTATCCGTGAGAAGAAGCAGAACATTCAGCACCATCTTTCATTCCTCCAGGTCTTAACAATCTACAGATTTTTTTTTGCATGTGTTTTTATGGTTACTGGTTATGGCTACTGACTAAATAAATAAATGAACATGAAATATTGACTTGAGTCAAAATTACAAAAGAAACAATTACATAAAGTAATAACTTCTATGTTAGAAATTGACAGAGGAATGATATGAAATACATGAAATTAACACAGCCACACTTCTGTTCAAAAGTGTTTTTGTTTTGTTTGTTTTCTAATGTTTTTGAAGGCTCACTCTTATGCTTTTATGCTCACTATTTATTTGATCAAGAATACAGCAAGAACAGTAACATTGTGAAATATTATTACAATTTAAAATAACTTTTTTTATTTTAATATATTTTAAAATGTAATTTATTCCTGTGATTGTAAAGCTGAAATTTTAGCAGCCATTTTTCTAGTCTTTAGTGTCAGCCATGAATAAGTACACTAGAAGTAAACTAGAAGTTAAACAATGTAACACTAGTGACATGTATGATTTATATATTTCAGCTCTATATAATTTTGCACATTTAACAAAAACAAATATATATACAGGTGCATCTCAATAAATTAGAATGTCGTGGAAAAGTTCATTTATTTCAGTGTCACCTCCAATTGTGAAACTTGTGTATTAAATAAATTCAATGCACACAGACTGAAGTAGTTTAAGTCTTTGGTTGTTTTAATTGTGATGATTTTGGCTCACATTTAACAAAA